AAAAAAAAGCAGCAAAGCATGTATGTGTGTGTATAAAACATGTATGTATCTGTTTTATTTATATAAACCAAAAACCCAAACGTTCATTATGGAATCCAGGTGGTACACGGCATTCATTCTCACTTCTCTCAAATGTTCTGTGTTTGAAACTTCTAATTAACAGTTGAACAAGGAACACACCATAGGTTATACCCTCACACTTCCACCATGCCTCTCCAACCCACTGTCCACATTCAGAGCCCATGACTCTACTTACCCTGAACCAACAGGTGACACTCTGTGTGTACACATCTTGTAACCAAAGGCCAGGCTAGTGGACACTGACCTCAGGCTTTGCCTGCCTGGCCAGATGGCCATGTACATGAAACATATTTAGGACACAACATGGGGGAGTAAGCTGTTGGACTCTGAGGTGGGGCAGCCATAAGCTGAGATTTCTAACTCGATCATTTCTTAGCTGTGTGATCCCAAAGCTTATCCTACCTATGGTCTTTACTCTCCTCACCCGTGCTCTGAAAACTAATCTTACAGGGCTATTAAAGTGAAAATAAAACAAAGCACATTGTATATTTCCTAACGCACCTCACATTTCCCTTTAAAGCATTACCTCAAAGTCAATCTTCAAATACTAAGTGGACTGTGCTAGTCTCCCACATGGATATAACACCTTCCAACTACAAAGGACTCTCAAAAATACCACTTCAGACTACCTCTGAGGCCAGTAACATGGATCGCACCCCACAGGTCTGAGCAATCGAGGGCCCACCGCTGCACAAGGCCGGCCTGAACCCAGTTACTCCAAGCCCATCGCCTTTCTGACGGGACCGTCTGCTCTTCCTGTGAACAAAGCCGACGCCCTGGTGGCTCTGGGCTGCCTGCTCCTGACAAACGACCTGTGATTAAGCACCTCTGCATGGGCGGCGGCCCAGGGACCTCCGTGTGGGCGGTGGCCCTGGGACCCCCACATGGGACTCTGAAGGAGCAGGCAAGGCTACGCTGGCTACTTCAAGTTAAAAAGGGATGAAAGTGGAGTCAAGCCAATGGTCCACCTAAAGCAGACACCCAGCAACAGAAAGGGATGCCTTACCAAGGGCTTCCAAGCGTTCCGTCTGCTCCTCTCTCCATTTGCGGATACTTTCAGGTTCTGCCTGCAACCGATCCACTTGTGAGATGGCTGCGTAGTTGTCTGTTGGACCATTACTCTCCTTAACATAAAACACAACGTGCTCCATCAGCACCAAGAACTCTTGCCCGAAACGCACTTCATCCAGGTTAGAACTCTGCTTTCACACAGAACTGGTGGCTACTGTGCAGTGTTAAAGGAAGCGTGTAAATACAGTTATTACCAAAAGTAACAACATGACCTTACATTTGAACACGACTGCACTTTGTTCTTGAAGCCCACGAAGGAGACTGCTACCCTACCTATCAATAAATGGGCCATAAGTGGGAAACAGAATGGAGGGGGTGGAATAGGCCTACTGGGGAAGGTGTAACCACTTAAATCCTTGGATTTAAGTGGTATCTTCCAAGTAACAAAGGTAAGTACACTGCAGAACACAGTGTAGACCTTAAGACTTCTAAATGCCACTGTGCTCTACAGGGAGAGAGGCACTTACACCGTATGATCAAATACTGTGAACTCTAAGAAAGAGAGTCCAGTCCAGTTAGTTCCCTGTCACAACTGGAAGAGAGGGGGGAAGGCAGCCCATGGACTCACAAGCAGGGGTAAGACATGGAAGCAACAGGCTGAGAAACACTCAACCAGATGTTAACCTTCAGACGACTATTCGACCTGCTGAACTAGGGAATGTTAACTGGTTAACCCAATGAGACTAAGAACAAAGACACAAAAACACTCAAGTATCCACAACTAAGTGACCAGCACGTTCTATGGCCAGGCTCATAAAAGCTTTATTTCTCAACCACCTTGCAAATTAATTAGTCTCATTTCACAGCCAGGAGGTTAAACTTAGGCACAGAGAAATGACACGTCTAGAATCATAGCTGGTAAACAGGAGAAGTCTGAATCGGAACCCAGTTCTGGCTCAGAACTTTTAAACTAGGGACTGGAAACTATGGTCCAGGCCAGCTGCCTGTTTTTGCAAAAAAAGTCACCCTGGGCCACAGACTGTCTCTGGCTGCGTTCGCATTACAATGACAGAGTAAAGTAGTCTGACAGAGACCCTAAGGGCGGCAAAGCTTAAAGTATTTACATCTGGCTCTACCCCCAGTCTAAACCACTTGTAAGTTCATTTCATCCTTCTGAACAGTTAACTGGTTCAGGGATGGGCAGAAACCTAAGCATAAACGCCACGTTATTTCCCCCAGCTTACAGTGATTATTTCTGGCAGGTCCAGAAGGAACTGGGGGGGTGGGAGAAGAGGGGAGACCCATCAACTCATTCTAAATGAAGTGGCATCCACACGTGAGGCCCGGAGCCGCACGTGTGAGGCCTGGAGCTGCTGTCGCCATTTTGCCGCAGTGAGAAAAGGCTCAGTACCAGGCAGCCCCACACAGCAGGCAGGGAATCCCAGACCCTGAGCCAGAGTCCCGGTCAAGCCCGCCCAGCCGGTCTTGCAGGGATCTAATGACAGGAACTAGGAAGTTCCCTGTATTGTTTCAGCCAGCGCAAACCAGGCTGGAAATGAAAATAGATACAGAGGGAAAATAACGGGGGTCACCACAGATATCCAGCCCCCCGAGTACAATCTACAGGGTTCAAATTCTGCGCCCATCACACGTTACCTTTTGTTACCTTGACAAGTGATTTAATCTCTGTGTGCCTCAGTTTATTAACGTTTAAAACGGGAACAACAATAGTACACACCTCTCAGGGTGGGGTGAAGATTACATGGTTAAACACAGTGTTCAAATGAGCCACTCTCCTCATTAGGAAAGGCCGCACCTTTGGGGCCCTCCACTGTGCACCTAACATTCCGGGTACCAGCACACCTGGGAAAGTCCAAGGGAAGGCGTGTCTCTCTAGGTCATTCGACGCAAATCACAGAAGAGGACTCTTGGCCACTATCATTCAAAATAAACCGAGTACCTACCTGGTAGTATTCTCCATTCATCACTCCATCGACAGCATCTGCAAGACACAAGGTTTCAGTCTGTTAATGACATCACTAACGAATCAAACCCAACGTGAACAGTCAATTTTCCAAGTCAACCCCAGTATTTTATTCATTTTACTGGCCGTTAGGAGCTCTGGTGGTGCAGTGCCTAAGGCATGTGACTGCTAACCAGAAGGTTGGTGGTTCAAATCTGCCGGCTGCTGCATGGAAGGCCGGGCAATTTACTTCCATAAAGATTTACTGCCTAAGAGATCCAAAGGGGGTCACTATGAGTCAGAATCAACTCGACAGCAGTGAGTTTGGTTTGGTTTTATTGGCCTTGTTGCTTCTCCCAACTCCTTTCTGCTTTGGCTTTGGGAGTATTTCAAAATTTTGTACATCCTTTCCCCACCAGGCTCCCCCTGGTGACCAAATACTTTAAAAAAAAGAAAATGCCACGTACTCCATCAGCCAAATGGCTTGTTTCCATCCTTTCAGTTCCTCTAAGGCACAGACAGCTAAGTTCTTCAGCACAATGGGCCCTCTAACACACACTTTTCAGGAGTCCATTTATCTACACCATTAAATTCTCAACGTTTTCCAGTCGGAGACCTACTACTTACTACCAGATGGTGCCAACGTGCCTGCCAGTGTTAAGCACTTTATACTCATGAACTTTAACTTTCACAATAAACCTACATGTGTCAGAACTTCACAAACCAGCTCAGAATGCACTTTGGGCTCCTGAGCAGGTGTTTCTGAGGAAACGGGAAGATTATCAATGACGGTATTTTCTCATCTAAATGCTTTATGTTTAAGGTAAGTAAGAAAAATATTTAACCCAAATACTATGACGTTATCTTTAAAACTCGGTTATATTTGAGCAGGCCAGGCCTTCAGAGAAGAGACTGCAAATTGCATACAGAAACACAAACCGTGGATCTAAACATTTACCAACCAACCTCGGCTTGTTATATTTCACCCACTGGTTTACATATTGTGATTACCTCAACAGTCTTCTGATACTTTTTAAAATTTAATTTCTCTACTTGTTTGAGTCCTATGCTTTATTTTACCATAAAAGGAGATCATTCTTAAGAGTTTTTATCTTATCAATGGCTTTTTTCTACTTTAAGCTGCTTGTGCACACGTTGTATTTTAAGCATTCTGTCAAGTTTTGGAAATACAAAATTACAAAAAAAAATCATTAAAATCCACGTTGGCATATGCCACAGCTCCTCTACAATGAATCCGTGATGTAAAATCGCGGGTTTGCAGCATATTTTTTAAAAACGTCTGAAACGCCGCTCACTTGTCCCCTGCTGGTCTGCCAATTTCTATCACTCCCAACAGCACACCATGGTTTAAAATCAAGAAGGGAGTGCATCAGGGTTGTATCCTTCCTCCACACTTATTCAATCTATATGCTGAGCAAATAATCCGAGAAGCTGGACTACATGAAGAAAAATGTGGTATCAGGATTGGAGGAAGAATCATTAGCAACCTGAGATATGCAGACAATACAACTTTGCTTGCTGAAAGTGAGGATGACTTAAGGCACCTACTGATGAAGGTTGAAGAATACAGTCTGCAGTATGGATTACGTCTCAATATAAAGAAAACAAAAATCCTCACAACTGGACCAATGAGCAGCATCACAATAAATGGAGAGAAGACTGAGGTTGTCAAGGAATTCACGTTGCTTGGTTCTACAATCGATGCCAATGGAAGCAGCAGTCAGGACATTAGACGACGTGTAGCATTGGGAAAGTCAACTGCGAAGGAACTGTATCAAGTGCTGAGGAGCAAGGATATCTCCTTGAGGACTAAGGTGCGCCTGACACAAGCCATGATATTTCCAATCGCCTGGTATGCATGTGAGAGCTGGACAATGAATAAGGAAGACCGAAGAAGAGTTGATGCTTTTGAGTTGCGGTGCTGGCGGAGAATGCTGAAAGTACCATGGACTGCTAAAAGAACTAACAGATCTGTCCTGGAGGAAGTGCAGCCAGAATGCTCCTTGGAAGCAAGAATGGCCAGACTTTGTCTCACCTATTTTGGTCATGTTGTCAGAAGGGACCATTCCCTGGAGAAGGATGTCGTGCTTGGTAGGGTGGAGGGTCGACGAAAGAGGGGGAGGCCTTCAACGAGATGGATTGACACAGTGGCTGCGATGATGGGCTCAAGTACAGCAGGGATTGTGGGGCTGGTGCGGGATCGGGCAGTGTTTCGTTCTGCTGTGCATGGGGTCGCTATGAGTGGGAAACGACTCGACGGCACCTAACAACAACAGCAGCAGCAGCACACCTGGGCACCACGGATGCTGGAGACCATTCATCCTTTTGATCCTGCTGATCTGATAGGCAAACAAGCCCTCATGGTAGCTTTGATGTACAAATCCTATTTCCTGTGAGGTAATCATGTACATAGTTGGTATTGTTTTTGTTTTTCACAGAACTGAATTTTGCCCATTTTTCTATCAGTTATCTTTTTACTGAAGTGTTCTCTCTGCATCAGACATCAGTCCTTTCAGGCTGCAAGCATCTCCGCCGATTTGGTCTCTTAATTTAACGTATAGGATTTACCACCTAGGAGCACTTAACTTGGATGCTGTCGTCACCTGTCAAGTCCATCCCACTCACAGTAACCCCACATGTGCAGAGAACTTCTCCACAGGGTTTTCAAGGCTGGGACCTTTCGGAAACAGCTTGTTTTCCAAGGTGCCTGTGGGTGGGTTTGAGCCACCAACCTTTCAGCTGGAAGCTGAGCACTTAACCATTTATGGCGCCCAAGAACTCTGCACTTGCAAGTGGACACTATCAATTGTTTCCCTGACGGTTTCTGTGTGCGCTTTGATGCTGAAAGTCTACTCCGAGATACAGACCCTTTTCTTCTGGTCTCTGTAACACATGCGGAGCGCATTTTGTGTGAGATGGGAGCATGAGGATCCTGAATCCCACAGCCCACCATGCAGGTCGGTCTGACCAGGTCTACACTCTAGTCCATGTTTCACAGCTAGCACACTGACTATTTAGTTAATGTGTTCCAGCCTGGGGCCATTTTCAAAAGGACAGAGACTTTGATCACCACTATGCAAAGAAGGCTGGACGCCTCCTTAGCCTGTACCTCCCTGGAGATCACATGCTCCCTGTCCTTTAGGTCCAAGACGCACCCAGACCACTGGCAGGCAGGCAGTTTCAGTTCTTTATCTGGTATCGTACTTATATTTTTCTAGGAAATAACTGATCTCAGGCAAAAGATAGTTATGGAAACAGGCAAGAACAGTGTGCAGGACAACCGAGCTCCACATCTGCTGCTCCGGGAGGAAACGTCTGGGGCACTCTGGAAACTCCAGACAGAGACTACGGCCAAGGCTTCCGAGTGGGACTCGTCGGAATCCCGGCTAAGCCATCTATTAGTGTTACCTTAGGAACGCTGCTTAATCTGAGCACCAGTCCTCATCTGAAATAGGACGATGCGACCACTGAGCTGGCCGGGGGGCTGCACGGATCTGAAAGGTATAGAGTACTAGGCAGGGTATCATCAATACCACATGCAAGCAAAATATGGAGATGATTCAAAAATGTTTGCAGTGGTACACGGACAGGAAACTGCCAGAAATTCAAACCAGATTCAGAAGAGGACATGGAACAAGGGATATCACTGTTATGTCACATGGATCTTGGCTGAAAGCAGAGAATACTAGAAAAATGTTTAACTGTGTCTTATTGACTATGCAAATTCATTCAACTGTGTGGATCATAACAAACTATGGCTAACACTGAGAATGGGAATTCCAGAACACTTAATTGTGCTCATGAGGAACCTGTGCAAAGACCAAGAGACAAGCATTCTATCAGAATAAGGGTACTGTGTGGTTTAAAATCAGGAAGGGTGTGTCAGGGTTGTATCTTTTCACCATACTTATTTAATCTGTTTGCTGAGCAAATAATCCGAGAATCTGGACTATATGAAGAACTTGGAGTCAGGACTGGAGAAAGACTCATTAACAACCTGCAATACGCAGATGACACAACCTTCCTTGCTGAAAGTGAAGAAGACTCGAAGCACTTACCATTAAAGTTCAAAGAGTACACAGTCTGCAGTATGGCTTACACCTCAACACAAAGAAAACAAAAATCCTCACAACTGGACCAATTAACAACATCCTGATAAATGGGAGAAAAAGGCTGAAGCTGTCAAGGATTTCATTTTACTTGGATCCACAACGGATGCCCAAGGAAGATGTCATATTGCACTGGGCAAATCTGCTGAAAAAGTCCTCAACCTCTTTAAAGTGTTAGAAAGCAAAGATGTCATCTTGAAGACTGAGGCGCACCTGACCCAAGCCATGGTATTTTCAATGGCCTCATGCGCATGTGAAAGCCGGACGATGAATGAGGAAGACCAAGCAAGAGCTGATGCCTTCGGATAATGGTGTTGGCGGAGAACACTGAGAGCACGGTGGGCTGCCAGAAGGAGCAAATGTGCCTGGGAGGAAGTGCAGCCAGGATGCTCCTTAGAAGCGACACTGGCAAGACTTCGTCTCATCTGCTTTGGACAAGTTATCAGGAGGGTCCAGTCCCTGAAGAAGAGTATCGTGCTTGGGAAAGCCCAGCACCGCTGAGAAAGAGGAAGACCTCCATGAGACGGCCGACACAGTGGCTGCAGCAATGGTCTCAGGCACAGCCAACGACTGGGAGGACAGTGCGGGACCAGGCAGCGTCTCACTGCCAGACACAGGTCGCGGTGAGTTGGAACTGACTTGACAGCATCGAACGAGCAGAGAAAATGTGCTGCGTTTGTAAATGAAATCCCACGCGAGCGTTGCCTGAACTTCTCTTCTATCACTACCAATACAATCGCTCCTCTGGAACCCTTCTGTTCACCGACCTTCCTACCATTCTCTCTCCAAGAACGAATGTGCCAGGAACTTCATGAACAGTGTCTCATCGCTCAACTATCTCAGCACCTCCAGGGTCCTCTCCCGCTGTCCCTGCTCAGCCCTCAGCACTTCTACACTTGGCCTCCACATCTCTCTCTCCGCCACCTCCAAGGAGGAAGAGTCACTGGGCGGCTTACTATAAACACCCAGCGCGCGCCCCCGAATGCCATCGCTGCCTACGCATGCGTAAGGAGAAATCGAGGCAGGGTGGTGGTAGTAGTTACATAACTCACCCGAGGTCTCAAAGCTAACCACACGAGCAGCCAACACAGGAGCCCACACTCATAACCACTATCCCAGAGTGCTTCTCTTAAAAAAAAAAAAAAAAAGAGAGAGAAAGAAGTGTCCCACTAGTTCTCTAATCGCCAAAGGAAGTGCTTACTACTGCATTATGACCAACCTAAGCCAACTGTCAGGAACCCAGCTTCAGTCACTAACTGCTTAGTTCACTAAGAAAGGCCTTCCTAGGAACTAAGTCAGCAATCAGCCCTTCCTTCCCTCTGCTGAAGGCTTGTCGCACAAGGGACTGAGCGTCTGCTTGATTTTCTCTATTTCTCCTGCAGGCCAGACACCTGCTAGGGACTGGGGATACAGACTAAGTAACGCTGCCCTGAGTCAGGACTGCCTTCTACCCAGGTGTGTGTAACGACCCCTCGTTCCCGGGGTCCTGCTTCTTACCACTCTCCTACCCAGGGTGGCCACAGCTGCCCTTCAGGAATGACCACCCCACTCCTCCAAAGCCTGCTGTCACCACCAGAGGACAGAGGGGTGCAGTGCAAGGGTGGGAAGACTTGGAGCTCAGCCTTAATTCGCCTCGTTTCTTCAATTGCTTCTCTCTAGGACTCAGTCTGCTCTGTTACCAAATGAAGGCAAGTCAATTAAGGATCTGAAAAGTACATCTTGTGACTCTCAGGCAAATGTTAACAACCCCCCAACGAAGAACCACCCAAGCGGACTTCTCCTCGCGGCTCCAGCAGGTGTAGTCTAACCTGCTCACTGGAACTTGTATCTCTGCAGCCTGAACAACTCCAGAGCCTACTTACTATAGGCCTACTCTGGGGCGATGAGCCTCGACTCGCGTTCTTTATGGCACCACTTCCAGTTGCCACATAGGTTCTACGGGAGGACTGCTCCGCCTGGGAGACAGCACGGTGTAGCAGAGAAGCCAGAAGCTGTAAAGCAGCGGGGCCCACCCCCTTTGCAGGCTCTTCAAAGGCAGGCACAGTAATTTGAGGTATCTGAGCCTCAACATTTATAAGTGGAGCCCTCTTCTCCAGTGCACTAAAGCCGCAGTCTCCACTGTTCCTTACTGTCTCACCGGCCTGTTTATATCAATTACATTACCCACCAGGTCCCTTCAGGTTTGAGTTTAGGGTGGTGGAGAGAACCCCTATCTCCCCGACCAGTGCCAGAGGCCCCTTTAATTGGGACCTTCCCCCACTAAATGTCTCATTTCTTCTGGTGAAACTCTCCACCTCCCTGTACCACTCAACAGGTCTCTTCCCCTCACCCTTTCCTCCCACCTCTACAATTCTGAGCATCACACACATAAAGCACTCACAGGCCAAACTGGCCCACCTGTCAGTCTCTCTCTGTGGCTGCTGTGGCTGCTGTGGCTGGGGAGAAGGCCGCACTGCCTTCTCTCGGCTCCTGTCCCTCTCTCGTCCCCTCTTCTGCCCTCCCTAACCCTAACCTTGGGGTTCCGCAACGCCAGCTGCTAAAGCTGTGCCCAGAGGAAGCAGCACCCCCCGGAGCTCCCGTGCTAACACAGCCGCGCGCCCGCCGACCTCCCGGCGCTCCCGGGTCCACGTTTCCTTCTCCGGGGCCTCACCAGCTTTCCCGAGTTCCGCATTCGCTCCTCCTCCTCCCCACAACCTACGCTCCGGACAACTTAAGTGCTTAAAAGCTGAGCTGCATCTGCTGGTTTTGTTAAAAGACCTCAAAAACGACTATTACTCTTGCTTGTTCTGCCCCCCTTTCCTGGTAACCGGTTCTGTACTGGGATCAGACTGGCCCAAACGCGCCAATGAGACTGCCCACAGGCCAAGTTCGAGACACACCAGGCGCCTACTGAGAACTTGCTCAGCGGCACGATAAGCGCCAGCCATTCGGTTTGCTCTCTCGCTCGCCCGCGCCCCACCGCAGTCACAGATCCGGGGAGCTTCCCCAGCCCACGTTTCTGCATGGCTGGGCCGGGGTCTCGCTTCCTCTTTTCACTCCGGGTCCGCCAGGGAAGGGAGTGACGCGGGAGCCCTCGGACCCACTCTGAATCCCCAGCCCACCGCGCCCGCGCGCTCCTCACCCGGAGCCCCCGGCGGCTCGCCGTGCGGCTGGGGCCCAGGGCCGCCACCGTCCAGGATGGCGAAGGCCTCGTCGTTCTCGATGCCCGCAATCTCACTCTCCTGCTGCGCCAGGAAGGCCGCGGCCGGGTCTTCCTCGCCGGCGCCGGCCACCCCATTCCCCAGCGCGGGGCCGCCTGGGGCGCCGGCGGGGGCGCCAAAGGGATCCACCTCAGCCATAGCGGGTAGTTCAACGGCACGGACAATGACGATGGAAGGCAAACCAACCGACCCACCAACACCTGGCTAGGAAGCGGCCGCTGTGGCGGCTAGTAAGCTCGGAGGGCAAGCGGGAGGAGGGAAAAGGCGGAAGCGGAAACCCTATCCCTATATCCGGGTGCTCTAGTGAGTGCTACCGAGCCGTAAAGCGAGCAACCAATGAGAGAGCAGGAATGGCTCAAGAGCTACCCAATCAGGAGGAGGAGAGGCGGGCCCGCGAAGAAAACTCGTGACTCTAGCCCCGCCAGAGCGGAGGGCTGTGATCCCCGCGGTCCTGAGGCCGGCGGAGAGAGTGCTGGCCTCAAAACAGCGTTTTCCGCCCCGACTTCAAGAGGGGGAGTGACCTGGAACCACAACCTTTGAAGGGAGTTCTAGTAATGAACCAGGAGGTGAGGTTAAGTTAGGGCAATGATGATTGGCGAGTTGGGGAGGAGTCAGTTTCCTCGTTTGTGAGACCAGAATCTCTGCAAGGTCTTCCTCCCAGCATTATAGGGAGACTGAATCCATTTATGGGTATGGACTGTCTGTACGGATATATTTAAATATTTGTTAGCCTTTCATCTAGTCTGGATTCGTTTTCTCCCTTAGAGTCGACTGACAAATGTGATCGATTCAAATCACTGATTATTCTCCCCTCTAAGTATTTTTAATTAAAAGGTGATCGTTTCGCCTTTTAATAGCACTTTTGCAGATAGTATGTCTTTCCAGAACTTTCTAGAACTGGAAATTCCTCAGGGATCACCTTGTTGATAGGGAAACTGAGACTCCAGTGTGTGAGGGGTTCGGTCACACAAGTGGCCAAGAGGGGCCCCAGATTCCCGGGCAGCACAGCGCCTCCGTGAGGGTAGCAGCCCACCCCTTGTATGTGCGTATCTTTCCCAGCTAAGGACAGCAGGAACTTCCCTTTGAAAAAAAAAGTTTCTTCAGTATTTTCTTTTAAATCAGGAACACATCAGAAACACGGCTGTTGCCTACGTCATGGAAATCCTAACAGGGTGATTCTAGTTAATGATGCTTAGTTGGTAACGGAAGGACCTGTCTGCTTCATGGCCACTCTACACATCCAGAATAAAAGCAGAAATAATCCAACCCCAAACAACCAGAGGTCAAAGGGATCTCCAGAGGTAGTCAGCAAGGGACAAGAAGGTGGTTTAAAAAAGAAAAAAAACACATGTAATTTGATGACCCCAAGAAAAGGATAATTATTTTGAGTAAAGCACGTATTTTCTTTCTAAATCATTTTATGGAATGTGGGCGCTCTGGTGGCGTAGTGCCTAAGGCACTTGCCTGCTAACCAGAAGGCTGGCGGTTCAAACCCACCAGCCACCCCTCGGAAGAAAGGTCGGGCAATCTACTTCCGTAGTGATACCGCCTCAGAAACAGGCAATGAGTTTATGGAATGTAGGAGATTTTGAAGAAAAACATTTAATAAGCAAAATCTTAGGGTCCGCAGCTGCCTCCGTCCCTTCCCCTCTTGTTTAATGTGCGTCCCTTACATAAATTAGCAACAGGAGCCCTGGGGTTGCGGTGGTTAAAGCGCTGGGCTGCTGTCACCGCCCTCCACGCTGGCGCTGCAGGTTTCGGGAGTTTCCTTGGGGGCCCGCCTCTCCTCCTGCTGATTGGGTAGCTCTTGAGCTACATCTGCTCTCTCATTGGCTGCTTCCTTTTCCTCTCGGTATCCGACCCCAGAGAGCCCGGATACTGGGGCAAAAGGTCTGCGATTTGAACCCACTAGCCCAACTGTGCAGGGAGCTCTGGTAGCATAGTGCCTAAGGCACTTGACTGCTGACCAGAAGGCTGGCGGTTCAAACCCACCAGCCACTCCTAGGAAGGAAGGGCAATCTATCCGTAGTGATACTGCCTGGGAAACCCAAGGAAGGGTCGCTATGAGTCGGATCCGACTTCATGGAACATTACAACAACAATAGCCCCACGGTTGGAGAGAGAGGTGGCAGTCTGCTTCTGTAAAGATGTCCAACGTTGGAAACCCTCCCGGGCAGTTCTGCTCTGTCCTATAGGGT